TTTGGAGTGAAATGAGATTTATTTAGAATTTCCATTAGTAAACGTTGAGTGGTCAAAGTGCCTATTTTGTATTAGATAATAAATTGGCATCCCCAACAAAATATCCAGTTGCGGTCCGTTTTCAATTAAAAAGTCTTTTATCTACAAGATAAAATGCTCGATGTCGTTTGCCAAACCGTTGACTTTCCAAATGAAAGAGTAAAGAATGAATGAATTATTCAGCTCAATTCATTGCGAAAAGTTGCAGTAATTCGTAAGAATGCGATATTAATTAAGTAAGGTATGCAAAGCAGGTCCTCCTCACTTCAATGAATTCTCAATAACTGCTCAAGATGGATGACATAATCTTAGTTTTACATAGAATTATATTTCCACACTTCACTCTTCTCTTACTGTTTAATTTCCCTACCGAAATACCGTCCAGTCGACTGATTAAATGAAAACGATCTGGAAGCGGTGGACAAAACTGTAGATATGGATTTACAGTTTCACCAATTAAAGAATTTACCGGTTCCAGCGGTCATGATTAAGTTGTTCAGAAAGTGCAGATATTCCTTGTATTATTGCGCGTTTTTAAGTTTCTGCTTACTTTAGGAAGTTTTCAATTGTTAGGAAATGTACAATTTCAGTTTGTTTCCGCTTTTATTCATTGACGAATTTCTTTCATTTTTAGATAATTCCAAAATGAATAATTAGTTTTCCTAAGATTAGCGAAAAGGATTTAAATTTTAACCATTAGACACTACCCTCCCCCTCCCCTCCCCCTTCCCCCCTTATTAGGAGACTCTTTTGAACTTAAGAGACATTAATTATTCTTTCTCCATTAGTCGAAGTTGTGAAATATAAACAGTTTTGAATACTACCGAAATATGAATATTCACGGAATCTTTCTCCACAGTGAAATTTCGTGTCATTACAAATTGTTAATTTGACTTGGAGAAAAAAAAAATTGCCTAGGGGACAAGTACGATAAGCCTGCATCAACTAGATAACACTTCCAAATGAAATGAATTCAGAGACATTCAGAGATCATAGGTCTGACAATCTATAATGGAGTATTATAAGCCTAGCAGTCCATATACTAAAGTAAATGAATTATTTTTCATTGGATCGGTATGTACTGCCACAGACAACGGAGAGAGTAAAGGGACAGCAGAAGGAGAACTGAGCAGATTTCTTGATTGCATCTTTTTTTGAATACTAACAATAGCAAATGATAGGTGTTGTGTACACTACAATATATGAATGAAAGAATTGATGGAAGAGTGATGAGAGATTTCAAAAAAGTTTCACAAACAATAAATAAATTGAAATGAAATGAAATGAAGCATAAGAATTACATTGCTGATCATAAAAGGAGGCCATTTCTTTGCTGACTACCGTTACTTATTCTTTCACTTTTCCCATTCTTTTCATTGAACAATTACGACAAACATTTGTTGAAGATTTTTGGATGAATGCAATTTCTGTCAAATGCAATCATCTCTCTAGAAGAGTAAAACCGTCGTTAAACTGCAAAAAAAAAAAAACAGTCTTTTATTAGTGAATACAATTTTATTTAATTTTAATTTTAACGATTTTTTGATCGAATTAAACTTTTGGATTACTATTAGTTCCAATGCAAAAACGATTTTTGATGAATTATTTATTCAATCCTAATTCTGATTTATTATACATTTAAAATTTTTGATTTTTCCACACAATTTAATTAACTGGAGTTAATTATCTAGGGTTAAATATCGCAGCAACATATCTTAAAAGAAATGACCTAACCACAGTTCGCCGTTAATCAATTTTATCCGTCCCAATCAGCGCATACGGGAAGGATGGAATAAATTGCCTTATTAAAGAGGGAAATGTTAGCAGTGTGATATAATTTGGAAGTTGAATGATGATGAGAGACTAATAAATAAAATCAAATACAAAAAAGTAATTGCCAACAAATGAACAACATCTGCCATAATGAAACATATATTATTGCATTGCATCCTATCAGCAAAAATTTTATGAAATACATAAACAGTGCGAAATAATTTAATCACAGAAATACAGAGGAAATAAGCACTAATTTGCTGGTACAGATATCTGCCCTCTCTACAGTTGGATTATAATAATCCGAGCACTTCCAACATTCCCTGCCAGTACCAACCGTTTCATTTCTAGCAATTGATGTCATCATATATAGAATATTTACTTATTTAATGCGTATAGCAGAACTAAGCTAATTGCTCGTTTTCACCTCATAAATGAACTCAATTGATAGCAAAGTTTTGAAAGAACTTTTCCGATAATTCTGTTAGTAAAAATTATTGGTCAAAACTACTCTAATTAATAGAAAATATTGAAATCATCAATTAACAAAAATCGTTAATCAAAACTACTCTAATTTCACTGTATTACTTAACTTAACCGATTTATGCTTCTTTCTCTCTGTATGTACAACTAATTCATATATTTCAATTAAATTCCCTTTTTAGGATTTCAGGAATGTGAACAGTAAATCAGAAATGTTCTATCCAGGGAACCAGAGAATTGCTCTTTAATCAATAAGAGAATATGTCAATTCTTATCCTAGAAAATACGTATGATGATGATTAGAACGGATAGGAGGTATGAATTTAATTTTGCCCGATAACAAACCTAAAATGAAAATATGAGAACAACGGGTAAATGGAATGAATTATCGTTGGATGATTGCAAACATTACTTATGTTAAAAGAGCATAGAAATAAGGTGGAAACGGTTGTGTCCTTGGAATCAAGGTATACTCTTTTGTGTTCGCATAAAGGACCATAGTTACAATACATCAAATTTATAATTATGCTCATCCAAACACAAACACTCATGGAGCTCTCGAAACCAATCAGCTGAATACCATGAAAATCAATGCTATACTAGCTCAATACATGGCTTCTATTAAATTATACTAATCGTAATTCACCGCTACCAATAGAAAACTCAAGTTTCTCGATTACTTCGATTACTTAGTATGTCAAAATTCTGTTCTGCGCTGTGTCTGTGAGTGCGTTTGTTAAGTGCGGTACCAAAGAAATTGTGCGAAAAGATGAAAAGGAAATAAGGAAGTTGAAGAAGTGTAATTGCAACAAATATACTAAATAAATTTCATTAGACTCTATACTGAAAGAGAAAAGAAAATGGGATAGGAAATACAAATTAAATCAAAATTTGTCAAGAAAAATATGCCAGAGGCGAACTATATAATTGGAAAAATTGTCGATAGAATTACAAGTACTGATTTATAACAGATACTGTAACAAAATGTCAGATAATAATTTATCAGAAAATTAACAATGGAAAAATGAAAGCAAAATCAATGCAATTAAGGATTTAAACACTTTAATAAATCAAGACTACTTCATAGATTCTATTGGCACCTATATTCAGTCCAGCAATAATATAATTATAATAAAAATTAATACTTTTATTGATAGACTATTTTTTACGATTTTTTTGCTCGTATTAGTAGTCAAAGCTCGTACTCTGCATCTGTTATTCTGAATTTTTGATTTTATATAAAACTGCTAATACATTAAAATATTTAAATGCTGCCACCATTACTTTCAAATGTTTATGACAAAAATGCCATCATGGTGCAATAAATACACCGCAAAATAAGTAATACAAATAAATTAGGATATCCAAATCCTAAATAGCTACGCTTTTACCTAGATTCTTTTCGACTACATCTCTATCTAAGTTACTTATAAAACTACTGCAACTATAATTTAATACGAAAAAGAAAATATACTTCCAATATAAATAAATAATAACAGTAATAAAGAATGAAATGATGTCGATATCGCTTTCATACGGATAACTGAACCGTTCATCATCAATGCAAACGTTTCGCAGAAATCGTGAATCTTCTGAAAAAAAGCTTTTGATTACAACCTTTTTAAAAAAATCAAGATTAAGTTCAATACAGTGATCACCACTACCTTGAAATTGGTTGCTTAATCTTTCTTACAAAAAAAACTACACTTCAGTGGTTGCTTCTTCATTGGATAACAGCAATTCATTTTCTAATTATAAATGAAAGAACTTTTCAAGAGCAAGGAGAAGCAGTGGTGTTCTTGGGTGCAAATCTTAACAAATTATGCATTCTTCAAACGGCAGTCAAAATTAATGCGTGTAAAGTGTCGAAAATTTTTTAGTAGACTTTTTCTGAACAAATATCGAATATCACTCGTCATACGTTTTTATTCTGAAACAATTGGCAACACTCAGTCTTCCAAGCAGAAACATTTCAGATCTTTTTACTCAATTTGTCCCAATCCTCTAAGAAAGTACCACCCCTACGAAAAGGCCATATTCTGTCTTACAACTTCATTGAATTTTTCAATTCCCAAAAAAAAAAAAAGAAACCACAAGATTCGAATCATTCGAATGCAAAGCATAGCATTCCAAGATTATAAGACTAAAAAGGACTAATATACAAATCTATACTTACACGAAATTATGTAAAAGCTATTAACGACTACTAAATTAGATTGATAGCAGTTTTAATCAATTGTAAAAGCAATGTCGGCAAGGATTCTGATGCGAAAAAACAATTGCGTAATGTTAGTGTGGTTACAGCAACCATTTTATTACCAATATCTTCTTCAGATCCTTTCACTTTTACATTCAAACTTATATTTTTCAAACCAAATAAGTTAAATTCTTCGAGGATTTATGTGTCGAGACAGCATTATAATGATTCAAGAAATTAAGTTAAAAGTAAAAACATAACAAACATATAGTTGAATCATATATGTTTCATCATTACTGATAATTCATTGATTGTAATACTAATGTTGGTGGAAAAGAGTAGCGATATATAAACTTAAGCGATTTTTCATAATATTTTAAGACACGTAAAAAACGAAAATTTCTGTACAAATATAGCTCTTCACAATTAACTGTAAATACGACATAAAAATATTTCATTATTATTGATAATTTATTGGCAGTAATATTAATAATGATGGGAAACCTGCTCAGCTGCTGTAATACACTCGATAATACAACGTTTTAGATCGCCACAAAGAATACGAATTGTCAAATTTCAACAAATATACACCTCGTCCTGGATATACGTGACTACCAGCGTATACCTTAAAATACAGAATTATGAACTATAACTGAAATTTGATAGTGGAACTAGAAAAACCAAGTGTTAACATTAAGTCTACCAAGAAATTTGTGCTTCATCACCAAGCAATTATTAATCATTTATGAATAGAAAATTTACATTCCAATCATTTAAACAAATGAAAAATTTGATCAAGCAAGCGGATCCTCGTTATATATGCCAGAAAAAACCTTTCGCTGAAGATATCATTAAGAATCATGAAAGGAATGAATCTACGAAACTGTGAAAGGGATAGTGAATACATTATTAAGCCAGCATCTAAATTCCCATGATTTTGTTTTCTTTCGCTTCAAATCCTAATGAAAATAATGTGAACCTCTTCATGACAATCACGTCGATAAATGGGGACAATTTCATCGACATGTGGTTTGTTCTGATCAGTTTCCTTTTCCCTTACAGAACTACCGCTTTCTACGTCACTGGTCCTTAACTCTACTTGCAAAAACTCTTCGTCTGCCTCTTCATCGGACGATTCCGACACGTGAACTGATACCTTAAATAGTATATAAAAGTAATTATGCGGTTCCAGAAATAAGGGTTTGATTTAGAGACCAGTAAAAAAGTAATCATTACCACTGCAAAAGATTTGTTTAGTAACAATGAACTGATTCAAAGAAATTTATCTTATTTTTCAGTACAGCTAGTAAAGACATTTACATATTCTTGACTTCATTACACAGTAAAAGTTGCATAACAGTGAATTATGTAATTTCCACGTAAAAACGATCGATGTTCAAATGGCCAAGTTACCTTCAAATATTTTGAATCATTCAGAACAAACAATCAGGCTTATATCATCAAACTTTAAAAATGCTCACACGATTTGTTTGAGAAATTGTCCATTCAAAAAAAACACCAAAACCAATATCGTAATGATCGGTTGCAAATTCCCAAAACAAACAACTGCCCTCCTCATGAGTTGGTACACGAACCTGCATCAGCGTGAGTTAAGAGTTATAAATAGAGATTTTGCTGAGTTCTTAATACCAATTTCATTTGGAAATTGACCACTGAGATATGAAAAAACATTAAAACTTATTTACCTAAATGCGTTATCGAAATTTATTTTCCACATTACCCAATACACTTCTATTCAAGAAACTAATTTTCTGAACTTATGATAACATGAGCGGCCATTTTTTTTTTTCATATGTTGGCCAACGTCTCCAAAAGTAAATAAATAAGCTGAGCGGAAACGAATGAAAATTTTCAAAAATTCCCTCAAAATTTTAATGTATTAAACTTACCGTTACTGTTTCACCATGTCCAACTTTAATGATGCTTTCACTACCTTCTTTCCGGATAGCAGTCTTGAATTCCATAATATCTTGACGATTCCACATTGATGCTGGTGCTATTGCAGGATTTGCTGGAAAATTCAACAATTAATTATAACCATTAGACAATAAACTTTTACTATAGTAAACCATGCTGACTAATCTAATAATTATAATAACTACAATTCTTTTCTATCAACACAAAAAAAAAAAAAAAACAATGCAAACTTGAAACGAAAAGGTACATCATGAATTTAACGAAAGATCCGGACGGCACTGAAACATAATCTATAATTCGGTATATTCACGAGGTTCTAGTGAATACAATTCGTAATGGACGTTCAAAAAAATTTTAGACCTTTAATAAATGAACCAGGAAATTATGACAAAATTTCCTTATCATTTTAAATAATCTAGCAAGATAAAGAATAGACAAATTATGTGATACACATAAGCATATTTAAGCATTAAAGAGAATAAAGAAAAGCTGATGAAGAAATCCCACACCAAAGACATTGCTCAAGCTATTTGAATACACTTTATCTATATTATTTTTCGTATGTTACAAAAGACGTTTGCTATTTACATTTTTATTATGTATTCTGTTTTCATCTTTATTTCCCTTCATTACTTCAATTGTCAATACAAGACGTATGGCGCCATGCATGTGAAACATAGCAAAACCCATTATGAACGAAAATCGATGATCAAAAAAGGAACGAATTGTTGACCTAAAAAACAAAAGAAGTCAAACATCATTAACACAACCGAATCTTACTTCCATTTGATGAATTATGAAAAATCAACCTTTCAACCTCTTTAGCAAGTGCCATTATCCCCATCTAAGCCTAAGCCTAAGCCACGGTATATTTGTGCGCTCTTACCGCGTCGGACCGCTTAGTTGGGTGACCAGCGATGCAGCGGGGTGTTCCCGCGTTATTCTGCCTTCAGATGCTCGTGACTTCCACGTTACGTCCCAAATGTACAAGTTATGATTAAAAGTGTATTTCATTTCAGTACAGTTAATAAATATTCTTGAATCAGCAACTACTGATGAAGAATGACAGTAAGTATATCGAAGCAGAAACAGAATCCGTTTCTTCAAGGTAATCTATGTTCTCATAAACAATGTCATTTCACTCTAACCTGTTCGTTTTTTTTTTTTTTTCAATATTCTTGGAAACTTTTTATTGGCAGACATAACTCCAATGAAGAAAAGAAAGAAAGGAAGGAATTCCAAATTGGTTCATGCTCTGTGTATTACGGCCTTGATACACATCACTTACTGATAGTGTAAGCACGAAGCATGTCCGTTCCAAATAATGAAATGCATTAACACTGCCTTATTATGACCCACTTCTCCTTAGATATTCTTTCTAATGTGCTGCTACAGCCAATTTAAGCTTTTGAATTGTTTTATTTATTTTCTTAATCATTTCTATTTTTTAAAATTATTTCTTGAAGTCAGCGAAATGTGCACTAGTTCTGAATTTCCCTTTTTCTGATCAAAACAGTTAGCATCATTTTGTTGCTTGATCCTAAATAACTTGTCTTAAACTTCTTCGGGAAATGACATTATAACAAGATATCCTATCCTCCTTCACGAAATTTAATGTGTGATTCATCAATTTTTCCAAATAAAACGCTCATACTAACTCAATTTTTTCTCAATTGAAAAAAAAAAAAAAAAAAAAACAATACAGTAAGCAGCATGCTTTACCATTCAGGTTGTTTTGTTATTCTATCTTCCAGATAAATTTTTTTTAAATCGTAAATAGAGCAAAAACTATTCAGACTTTCGAAGAACAAAACTTAGAAATTAGGTAGGAGAAAAGTTTTTAAAAAGTTGAATAACAAACAAGACAACCGGCATCGACAATAAATAAGAAAGCAGCTTACAGTAACAGAAGAAACCCATTTGACCATGAATTGAACATACTTCAATTTAAAAAGTGAAAATTGAAAAGTATAAGAAAAAGAAAATCATCCACAAAAAGGAAGTTTCTCTAACCTTACCTTTATTTATAATTACAAAGGGAAACAAAAACTACATCATTTTATTGCTCTTTCTTCCTTAAGATTTTACTACCTTTTCACCCAAATGTAATAAGTATATAACCAACTACATATTGTGCATATGCATAAATCCGTAAAAAAGTGTACTCGAAAAATTTCCAACGATCCAAACACTTCAAAATTTTAAAAATATAATAATTGGAAAAATAATATATAATTATATTAACATAATAGATATAATAGAGGACAATGTAGTGAATGTTATAAGAAAATTTCAAATCAGAAGTAACTGGTTAACAAAATACAAAATCTCGTAAGACCTTCTTCACTTAATAAAAAACAAGTATTAAATTTTTTAAAAACGGATTTCTTAAAATGGATTTGTTTCTAAGATGTTTCTAAGCTCAATATTTTGGCACAGCTAATATATCTACTATGGATGTAACTCGATTTATTTTTGTTACCATTTTGAAATCTACAATAAGAAGGGAAAATGAACTAACAAGGTAAATCTTCACCGACTTCTTCATCAGAAATATCCGAATTCTGATTTCCATTTCCACTTTTTCCACTATAAACTTTACTCTGCGTGTTATTTTGCCCATCCACACTTTTTGTTGAAGTAAACTCGCTATCCGGAGATGCGCCAACTACCTTAGCTTGCTGTGCATATATCTGAGCCATGTATTGCTGATAGTGCTGTTCTTGCAGTTGTTTGATCAGTGCTTCTTGCTGCAAAAATAATTATCAATTATTAAAAATTTTTTTGGACTGGAATACTTTTTACACATTCGTTTTCTTTTTTCCTACAAAAGTTTAAGGGATATGATCACTTTAAACAATATTTCACAGTTGATTGCTTGGTAATTATATTGCCACTTCACTTTGTATACACTCTTTGGTTCCACTTTAAAATGTAAATATTTTTTAATTACAAGTTGAAGTTGTAAGTAATGCTTGAAAAAATGCAGAAGCTGAAAAAATTACATCTACCACTGGATGAATCTAATCTGCTGAACCTTATTTAGCTTACTCTCAGAAAACTTTCAAAATTTAAAATATACAACCATTCTCGGCATTCAATATATTGTTTGACTTTTTCAACGTATCCATTATTCATCACTAATATCATTTTTAAATTATCGTGAACATCAACTTTTTATCCACTTTGTTTACAGTATTCTAGAATTTCTTAATTGTTTAGGAATAAATGCGTACTTTCATTCGTTAAAAATCACTTAGCCTTACCTTATGAAGAAAAAGCTATTGGAAATGAAAAATTAAAAAAGAAGAGACTGGAAATTAAAAAAGCTGACTTTAACAAGAAAAATAATACTTGCGATAACTTCTTTTATATCCTGTTTGGCATATAATGTCCTTTTAGCTATGTATCCAAAGTGAGAATTAATAGCTATTTTCTCTCAAGAAATCCGTATCAAAATTTCCAGAATTTAACATCATGGTTTAAGAAAGTAAATATGAATAAAGATAAGAAATAGAAGACAACTGAATTCTCCGCTCAGGTTATAAATAAATAACTAAGGTTTATTTCCAAATGAAATTTATTTATTCTTTTTTTGAGATGAAGGATGAACTAATCCCACTTGTACATATTTTTTTTTATAACTACGACATTTGTTGTTCTCCAAAACATGCACTTTTAAGGCAGATAAACTTAAGGTTACATAACTGATGAATGACGTAATATCCAATTCTAATGGTCCTCAATATTTCTAAATCGAGTCCACTTCATTCAAACCTGTGTTGGTTGCATTTATTCATTTACACTCTCAGGATAACAGCTCTCAAATAAATTTACATCAAGAAGCAATTAATCATTGATAAAGCAGATGGATTATCCCTGAATTAGATACCACACTGTTTTCAAATGTCCACATCACCTGATCATCTGTTCCCGACATCATAGTCTTTCTAAATACAATGGTCTGTTTAGTACGATATAAGTACAAAATCAAGGACCATCCAAAGCATAATAAGCAATCTGAACTTTTCAAAAGATGAGAGGACGCACAAAAGACGTCATTCTCATCATCACCATCACAACTATCAGTAAGTAGCAGTAGTGCTAGCATTAGCAGCAGCAACAGCAGTAGTATTAGTAGTAGTAATAGCAGTAGCAGCAGCAGCTACGTCAGTACCTATGATTGCTTCAAGTTAAGCCGAACAAACGTCAGGCAAGCTTATCTGCTAGTTTCATCCTCAAACTATTCCCCACATCTCATTCTCATCAAAATCAACTCAATACCTCAACTCTATCAAAGACTTCAGCAAGTGGCAATCCCCATTTCGCTTATGCTTTTTGTTGAAGCTTAATTGCTTCCTACGAATTCTAATACGGATATGACATTCCCGGTTGATTAGAATCATTCCTGAAGTTAAAAAACAAACCTTGTGGCTATTGTAGACTTCGAAGTGTACTCAACTTTATGTAACATAGTATCAGCTGGCTAATCCACTCAACCAACATAGCATTACTCCGCCGATATTTATTTCTTTTCTTAAAGAAAGGAAACAGTATAGATGAATGCTTGATCATGAAGAGAATCGGCAAAAATAAGCAAGCTTTTGGAGTGTTTCTTAAAAATACCACAAAAATTTGCATAATTATTTCCAGAGAAAAAAAAGACATTGCCATAAAAAATCATATCCAACTGTCCCATATGCAATTTTTTATGCCACCAAATAGTACCTTGGAACTTCTTAAATAGAAACAGTTTCCGAATTTCTACTTCAATTATCAATTTTAAAGTCTCATTCAAAAATTAAGAGCTCATAAAAAATGAATAGGAAGTTCGAGAGTCTAATTTCGGATAAAAAACCATTTTCAAGTTTATTAATATTGCTGACAAATTCGAAATGTCAATTTTAGATAATTAGAAAGTTTAGTCATTAACAATAAAATGAATAAGTGAGTAAACAAAAGGAATATATAATCAAAAGGGCCACGACTGATAAGCAATTATTAATAGAGCAGAAATTAAAAACAAGTAATTATTAATAGAGTAGAAATTATTTTGCAGAAGAAGAAAAGAAATAATGATCGACAAACTGCACGAAGATTGCCTCATATCCATATTCCAGAAGTTGGACTTCATTGATCGCGTACGTCTTGAGGTCGTGTGTCACAAATGGTTCGAAATACTACAGGTCCATTTTAAATCAGTTCATTAGTGTTATCAATGCACTGGGATTCAAATAGAAAGGATAATTATATGAAAATTTTAATTAAAACAAAAAAATTTGCGATCGTTTGTAGGGGAATTTTAGAGTAACACTTTTTCAGTAGAGAAAACTTCTCATTGAAAACAAATTTGAAGATCTGCACAGCAAACAAAAACGAATTTTATGACAAATTACGTGGACAGATACAATATAATTTTGCTATAAAAGATGGCATTAATATTTAAATAGATGGATAAAAAATGCTTCATTACTGTGCAAATCATTAAATAAAATAATGCTTTCCAATTCACGCAACTTTATTCAAACCAAATTGTTTGGCAAATAAGCTTTTATATTAAATTATTAATAGTAAGAAATAACGTATCGAAATACTTTGCTTTTGCATCAAAAGAAGATATAATTATGATATAACTAAACATTTGACTGGCTTTAATACTTTAAGGCACATATCCTAAGCATATTGATTTAAGTATCTGCAAAAAAACTAAAAAACAAACCTCATCATTATCTTTAAAGGTTGTTTTTTGTCTAATGCTGCTGAATGAAAAAAACATATTTATTATATGAACAAACTCGATTAATACTTTGCAGAAGCAAGCAACTTATGCGAACATTAAAGAATTGAATATGGCTGATTTTTTAGTAAATAATTCCAGTGGATACTTTCAGCAGGTATACCTCTACTCTAATCTATCCTAAATTATTTTTCTTCTTAACTCTCCAGATAATGAAATGAATTTGATGAATATAATACACTTCCTCTACATAGCATAAACATATATTCTATCAAGAGGCTCCGGCCTGGACTTTCAAACTCTTCGGCTAAGAACAATCGATGAAAGTAGACTAAGGCTTGTTGTTATCGACAGACAACAAGGCACACTTCCAGTCTATTCATCTTTCACCCGAAAACCTCATCCAATTGTCTTTGATTTAAAATTATTATTGTTAAATTACAGCCAAAAATAAATCATGACAATGAATCACAAATAGAAAAAAGAATTCAAGATACACTTGTTTGTATAAACAGAAATGTAAATCTACATATTCGTTTTACTGCCTTCCATTTTCTCACAAGTTTTCTTAACAGTCTAAACTCCAATTTTTCAGGAATTCATCTCATTCGCACCAACGGTTATTGGAGTGGTAAAACGTTGCGGACGTTACGTTCGGATGATCAGTTTTGGTCAACGATGGCTTAAAATCTCACAGCCTATTATTGACGCTATTGCCGAGTTCGTCTAATTCTTAAAACAACAAAAATGCATTGTCAAAAATGCAAAAATGCATATGTGTTTTCATCCATATTCAGTATATGTGATATCTCAAAGCTCTTTTCTAATTTAGTTATTGCACTCGTCTAACAGAACTTGATCTTGGCTGCATTATTTTGGATGCTGATATATCCATCTTACTGGAGAAGACTGGCGAGAATCTGGAAATATTTTCATTGGAAGAGACTAGCTGGGTGAATAAAGATGATGGCGATAAGGTTTTAAGTATTACTTATTGACATGAGAAGAACAAGTGAATTTCAATGGCTTACAACTTTGGTTTCACTTCCACTTCTTGAATCTGTATTACTTGAGATAATAATTGTTTCAACAATTGGAAATAAAAACAAGTGGCCAATACAACAACTGTTGTAATTATTGATATATCTTAAGCAAACTATGCGTTCTATTTCTTATTTATATAAATAAGAAATAGAACGCATAGTTATATCTTATTATCTTATACTAACAAATTTCGGAAATGTTTTCAGGTGCAAGATTTCTTTCAGCGAATGAAAAAACTGAATAAAATCAATCTCAGACGAGCTTCATTTAAATTGAACAGACTTCACGAACTTCCTTCCTGCCTCAGGTAGGTCTTATCCTAAATTCTTCAGAGAAGATTTAACTACATATTTCTGATTGTGATGAATGAAGCGAAAACTTACAGAAGCATTGAGATCAGTGGAGCGAATTCACTTCCAGCCGAAATCTTAAATGTATTTCTCGCACTACATCCAAACCTGACTGAACTAGAACTAAGTCCATTATCAGTAACAGATGATATGACTTTATCATATATCAGTGGCCTACCAGCACTACAATCTCTCCACATAGGATATATACAAAAGGAAGCTCAAGTTCTTCCAATGGAACCCTTAGCATTTTGCAGTACTATTCAAAACCTACACATTCAGGTAATGATTTTTGACCGTGCCATAACCGCACCTAATAGTACAAGTCACAAAAAATAATTATAGTGAACTCCCAAGGTGATTTTACGATAACTTTGGAGAACTATCTCTACAAGTGAAAAATCTTTTAAAAAACATTAATCAAATCGCCGATTTGGACAGAGTGTAGAAGTTGTGTAGTGAAAACAAAAAAACAAAACCAAAAATAATGTACAAAAGAAAAAAGTTTAAATGAATGATAGATTTTAAATAAAAGAATCAGTTTCAGAACTGCACTGCTTTGACAGGACAAAGTTTACGACTAATACTAGAAGGACTGGTGAATTTGCGATCACTGACAGTTATGAGTTGTTCAAAAGTGTTTGATTATTCTTCGTTATCACAATGCCGTTTGCTAGATTCGTTAAGTATCGGATACTCGCCCCATCTCTCTGATGAGGAGCTAATTCCACTAGCTGCACACAAGAGGCTACGCTCATTGACACTCAACAAGTGCTTCAATATCACCAACAGCTCCGTACTAACTATAATCAGAGAATGCACACTGAATAATGTTAGCCCATTAAGTCTGATTACTTTCTCAGTTTCTTGTCACTGATTGCTGTGAAAATAGAAAAGAAAAAAGATTTCTACTCAACAATCTTTTCGTTATTTGCTTTTACCTGAAAATAACAATTTGGTCGAAAACTCTTATTTAACTGTTATGAAATTCAGATTGCACTCATCAACTGCGATGGAATAACAGATGAAGTGCTTTACTCTTTAGCATCAATTCCGTATGTCATTGAAACGATTTCTGTACAAGGATGTGCTTGCATTACCAGGTTTACATGAATTTTACTGGATTGAGAAAAATTTAATTTTCACTATGAACAAAGATTTTTACCATACCAACAAAGCAATTATGTTTCTAAGCGTCAAAGGTTGTGGTCGTTTCCTTTTAAGGACATAATTTTACTATTTATTACAGCAAAGGTGTAGCAGTTCTTGCACTAATGAAAAATATTACAAAACTACGAGAGCTCGATATTAGCTATAATAGAAACATTGATGATATGGCGATACTATCAATTCATAACGGACTTAAACTAAAAAAGAGAGAAAATGAACAAAACTGTGCAAATGGAGACAAGGAAAACGAGATACAACAATCTCATACTTCCAATAACCTAGTAAACAGTATTTCTCTATCCATTCTCAATTAAAAATAAAAACTTTGGGACGATAGAAAGTATACAGATATCTCTTCAGTGATTATTTTATCAGCCTCAAAAAGTCCATGCAAAAAAAGATACATGCTAAAATAAGTGATGATTTGCAATCTTAATAAATAGTGTCGCTTAATTCTTTAAGTTAGAAATTATATCTAATATTAGAAGCATTAGTATTAATAATAAGTATTGATGCATTTGTTGCTAATCAAATATTTCTTTCAGTTAACAATTTACATATTCAAAACAAGCGTTTCGTTCCGGATTGAGTCTCACGTGAGTGATTTGATCAATTTATCAAATTAAACTTAATCAGCTACTTTCTATGTATTTTTTAAAAGGTCAATGAAAGCGCAGAGACATTTAAATTTATTCAACTTGTTTGAGGATTAAATATAAAATGTTTCTGGATAATTTGGAATAATTTAATCGAAATCCCCAGTGTACCATCGTCAAGCTTCAACTACAATCTCAAATAACTCCGGTATTCTTGACAATATCTGAGATGTGTTTTCATCTTCAAATTATTTAAGATAAGCAGACTGGCCAAAAAGTTCACAATTTTGAAATCTGTCCTTAGATTCTCCTGTGCTTTTACTTCTTAATTCTTTAAATAATCCTCCGTTTATTTAATTATTTATTGAGCATTCATAGACAAGCCCTCTTACCAAAAACGCATTCAGAAATTTTTTAAGTACTTCATTTGTCAAGCAGTTAAAAGTATCTGCATATATCAGCTGCATCCTATTTCTTAAGCAAATCATTTTGAAAATTATTTTCATAAATATTTCTATAATATTGCTTATTCCATTACTGCTTGGTTTCATATAAATTTCTTAACGATACAGTGCAAAACTGAGCAAAGCGTTGTAACATTCGCAACTGATACTACTGCTATATGTTTTTCCTCTTTTGATAATCAATTGATATTCATTTGTTTCAATGTACATCCATTATATTTTTTAAATTTTAATATGCGGGTATTCAATTATGACCTTCATTATTTGGTTTGTTGTTTATTAGATAAAGGACAAAATATTTGTTCTAAGCCTACTTTACAAGAACATCAATCCATGATAAAATCTACAAAGAAAATTGACTGAAGACAAATTTTCCATTACTCACAAGTCCACATCTAAATTCAAAAAATTCCAAAAATTCAAACTGCTGTAATATACCTGAATTATACATACGAATCACAAACAAATGCGCACAGTCATAATTATGCGTTCAGGAATATAAAGCTGCAAAATTAGCCTAGATAAAGTAATTCCAAACCTGGATAGGGTCGCCTACAAACTGTTGTTGAGCATATGCCCGAAACTGATGATATGTCTGACGATTGAGAGCTTCCTGAATTTGTTGCCTGCAAAACAGAATATGTTAAATTGCTTTATAGATTAATATTTATGCAAAATGATTCTAGAAAAATGACAGTTGGATTTCATATCCCAAGATTCAAGAAACTAACCAGCACAGAGTCAAAAATTATTAGGTAGAGTGAGATTAAATAGGACGTGAAATGAAGGCTATTGATCCAATGTTACTATTTCACACACAAGTGGGAAGATTCGGAATTTTGAATGACATGAAACCCACCTTATTCTTGCTATCTGAACACACTCAGCTCGAATCAAGTAATTTCAAATTCTGTATTCAGGTGTCTAAACCCAAGATTTCCTTGTGTGTGTAAAGTCAGTCAACGAATTGAGAATTAAAATTTCCTGAACATAGTGGTCAGCTGCAGCGTAAAAATTGTACACTTTATATAATTAATAAAAAAGATAAAATTCATACCGTTGTACTTCAAATCTTTCCAAATCATTCATTGTTTGAAAATCGGACTGGACATTATTCTCCTGGTGTTCTTCACTGCAAGCGGAAATGTCCCAAAGCTTGAACTTTTAGTTTATCAAATGAGAAAATAAAGCTTAAGCAATTGTAGTACCGAAAACGATACTTTCAAAGTGTTAAGAACTCGTGTACCGCTTTCAATATGTGCAATCTTAACACCATGAAATAACAAATAGATCTGGAAATAAAGCTACCTTTTGAAATTCACTTGTGACTGTAAATGTTCGTTGACAAAATCACGAAATGATGGACAAACAACATCGAGTAGCGTAATGAATGCTGACATTGCATCAGAAGTACTTAGGGTACCCAAATCTTTCCAAGCTTTTCTGAAATGTGAGATCTGATACCAATTGATACTATAAAACATTCATTTGACAAACAAGAAATTATTCCTTACAAACTGCTATTTTTTAATTTTTAGAAGTAATGTGCTGTCTAACAAAAACAAAAAAAAAACACAAACCATATTAACAATTAAAAAAAAAAGTGATACCGTACTTCTGAGATTAGTTTGGTTCAATGTTTCTGATTTAGAGGCCATAGGATAAATAGCAGATTATGAGATAAAAATCATAATTATAAAATTTTGCAGCGATAAGAAAAGCACCAGGCTCACGAAACTTTCAAATTTTCCCGAAATTTTGGCAGTGGAATCCATTATTCTCAAGCATATATAGGCCAGGATTATCAATCTTCGAAATTTTAATTTGGCAGATTTCTAGGAGAAAACTAGGAATTTATTAAAAGTGAATTAACTGAAGCATGCTTCAGTTAAGCATTCATGCTTCTAGTTATATATATATATATATAATTTGTGAAGTGACACAATGTGAGTTGACAATAGTGAGCCGACGAAAGAGAAGTGGAGAGAAGGACAAGCCTGTGAATGATGTAAATTCGTTTGAAAAGGCTCAGTAAGAGAAAATCTTTAGTCTGTGGCTGCTTTTTGGGATGAGCTGTTGATATGATGATGGGCCGATTTTTCTGCTTTCATGGGGACTGCTCTAAACCGTTTGGATATAAATCGAAACTGGTGAAAAATAACGGTTAGGAGCCATTAAAAATTGAGAGTTGTAGGCAGAAACAGGGAAAAATACGCCAAGAATATGATAATATTTATATCAGGAGGGACATTAAAAGAGACGACACAACACATTGACAAATCACATGTAGACTAACGATATGTTTTTAGAAGATGTAAAAAAAAGTTGAAAAAAGGATGCAAAATTTTTAACTCAGCTCTTAGGTTAGTACCAA